ACTCGGGAGGCTGAGGCAAGAGGAGCTCTCAAGCACAGGAATTTGAGGCTACAGTGAGCTATAATGATGCCACTGCACTCTAGCCTGGATGACAGGGCGAGACCCTGTCTCTAAAAATACATATAAATCTTACTTAACCCAATATATCTAAAATATTATTTCAATATAAAAGATTATTACTAGGATTTTTGCTTTTTTTTTTTTTTTTTTTTGAGATGAGGGTCTCACTATGTTGCCCAAGCTGGTGTTCAAGTAACCCTCACACCTCAGTCTCCAGAGAGATCTTTGCTTTTTTATTCTTCACATTTACAGCACATCTCAGCTGGGACGAGCCACACGTCAAGTGCTCGATAGCCACCCGTGGCTGATGGCTCCCACGCTGACAGCACAGCTTTAGGCTAGGGCTGGTGGTCTGTCTTGCAGATGTGAGAGGTGAATGTCTTCCCCACATCCCTGGCCAGAGTAGAAGCGATTTTCATGGCCAGCAAGAATGCCGCCCCTTCTGTCCTCGCTGCCCCTTCGCGTCCCTCTTGAAGCTACACACCTGACAGCAATGCCCTCCCAGGTAGAGGGCGGGTGCAGACAGCACATGCTCCCTTCTAGACTCTCCAAGCCCGTCCTCAAGGCCCTCCGCAGGCGTGGACATGCTGGGTCTCAATATCTGCACAGTATTTAATAGGGGAAAGGCTTTTTTTTTTCTTTTTTTGAGTCTCGCTTTGTTGCCCAGGCTAGAGTGAGTGCCATGGCGTCAGCCTAGCTCACAGCAACCTCAAACTCCTGGGCTCAACCAATCCTTCTGCCTCAGCCTCCCGAGTAGCTGGGACTACAGGCACGCACCACCATACCCAGCTAATTTTTTCTATATATATTAGTTGGCCAATTAATTTCTTTCTATTTTATAGTAGAGACGGGGTCTCCCTCTTGCTCAGGCTGGTTTAGAACTGCTGACCTCAGCAATCCGCCCACCTCGGCCTCCCAAAGAGCTAGGATTATAGGCGTGAGCCACCGCGCCCGGCCAGGGGAAATGCTTTTTGCAAAGACAACTACAGGGGAGAATGTGTTGGTTTGCTAGGGCTGCCACAGGCGGCTTAAACAACAGAAATTTATTTTCTCACGATTCTGGAGGTTGGAAGTCTGAGATTTAAGGCGCCAGCAGGGTTCATTTCTTCTGAGGCTTCTGTCCACGGCCATCTTCTCCCTGTGTCTTTCCTCTGTGTGGGTCCTGTGTCCTAATCCCCTCTTCTTATGCAAACACCGATCACATCAGATTAGGACCCACCCTAAGGACAGCATTTGAACTTAATTACCTCTTTAAAGACTATCTCCAAACACAGTCACATGCTAAGGTACCGGGGGTTGAGGCTTCCACATATGGATTGGGGGGGGACCCAGTTCAGCCCATAGCAGAAGGGAAGCATGGGGTACTGTGAGATTAAGCACCCACTAAAAGTTACTCCCCACGTCCTTGAGGCCTCAGCAGGCTGGGAGTGAGAAACGGTCTGTGTTTTCAAAGCTTTAAGCAGGTCTGGTCTGGTTTTTTTTTTTTGCAAGAGTTGAATTGTACCTCTTGGAGATGACAGCCTTTTATTTGAGGAAAAATGCACTCCATGTGTCTCTTTGTTGTGAAGACAGAAAGCAAACGCTCCTGTAGCTATGGAGATGGTGGAGACAGCTGTGGCTCCTGGGAGCCAGACGAGTTCGGGAGATGCCGGGGAAGGGAATCTGCCTAAGCAGAAAATGCTTCTTTGACATAGGTATGAATTTGGACTGTCCTGTGCAGAAAACCATTTCTTATGCTTAGGAAGATACAGTCTCCTGGAGACCACACTCATAGGAGAGGAGAAACTGAGGCAAGCCTGGTCTTCACCTAGAGCTAGAGGAGAAGCTATAGAAAGAAGTCGGGCCAGGGTAGCGCTACCTAGACCGAGCTGGTAACATCCCCTCCGAGATGCTATGCAGATGAGGCCGCCGTGGCTGAGGCTGGATCATTGAGCTTTTTTTTTTTGAGACAGAGTCTCACTCTGTTGCCCCAGCTAGAGTGAGTGCCGTGGCATCAGCCTAGCTCACAGCAACCTCAATCTCCTAGGCCCAATTGATCCTCTTGCCTCAGCCTCCCAGGTAGCTGGGACTACAGGCATGCACCACCATGCCCCGCTAATTTTTTTCCTATATATTTTTAGTTGGCCAATTAATTTCTTTCTATTTTTTAGTAGAGACGGGGTCTCGCTCTTGCTCAGGCTGGTTTCCAACTCCTGACCTCGAGCAATACGCCCGCCTTGGCCTCCCAGAGTGCTAGGATTATGGGCGTGAGCCACCGCGCCCGCCGATCATTGAGCTTTGAGGTATGGTCATGTTGTGCTCTTGATGCAGAAACACCGCAAGGAGGGGGCAGGGCGTTCCCTTACAGGGAGGCGACATCTCCACTCTCAGTCATCCTGGGACATAAAATAAAGACGGGGCTGCAGGTGTTCACCTGAAAGGGAAAGAACCCCATCTCCCCCGTACCTCTGCAGAAGCAGGGGACCAACTGGGCAGAGGTCGGCTGGGCTCTGTGACACGCCCACATCCTGTCTCCGATGGGGCAGCAAGTGACAACCAGGACAGAACAGCTGAACACATAAGCATCCCCTAGAGAGTCCCAAAACACTCAGAGAGGAAGTTATCCAGATGAGGCTTATGTGACTACAACACGGATATTAAATGATAAAGTGACATCTTTCAGTAGCTACCAACCGAGGCGTGGACCTGTTGGCTCGCTTCCACCGGGCTGTGAGTTCTGAAGGCTGAGCCTCTTGCTCATCTTCGCATCTTCGTGTCTCCAGAGTGACCCTGGCACAGAAAAGGGGCTCCGTGATCATGCGGTGCGTGGAGTGGGAAGCCACGCCCACGCCCACGCAGGGGAAGCCGAGGCACCAAGGTGTGCAGGCCAGCACAAGTCAGGAGGGAGCCCTGGGGGGTCTTGGATGATGTATTTTTTTCTGCACCTCCTACAAAAAGAGGCGTTCTGCCTCCCACCCTCAAATGCGCCTCTCAGCAGAATTTGCCTTCCAGAGAAACAAGATTGAAAAGGCAGCAGAAAGCTTTAACAGAAAAGAAAGGAGAGCGGCTGGTGGCGAGCATTATGTCTGGGCAAACCCTCTGTGGATGAGAAGGAAAAGAATGCAGAGCAAACCTCTGAACGGGCCAGACACCAGGGCTTCCGTCTCCTGGCAGTGCCTTCTCTCCCGGGGACCCCGACAACAGGGAGGAGCTGATTGCAGCCCAGAGCCCCCCTCTGTCTGGACTGAAGTCAACGGGAGGCGAGGGAAGGGCTGGGGCTCCACCAGCTCATGAGAAAGGAGCTCAGGAGCAAGGAGGCTCTGCCAACAAGCGTCCAAAAGCGGGGGGATTCGGGCAACCTGGCCTTCTCTGTTCTCTGCAGTCCTTCTGATGAAGAGGACTGGCACCGCTGACTGCCTAGCTGGTTAAGCAGAAAAAGAAATCCATTCCAGAGTAGCCTTGAGATGATACATCCTGAAAGTAACACCCGTGGAAACTGTCACCAAAGCCAGTGCCAAGTGCCAGGAGGCTGGCCCTACTGCAGCCACCACTATAGCCAGCCCTGATCTCATGTCTGCAGCAGGAGTGTGACCTTGCTGCCACCGGGAGTCACCCCTGAAGGCTGGACGCCTCTGTCGCCACGTGCACCAGAGCTCGTTTCTCCCTGCGGCTCCCATCCGAACCGAGATCTGCACCCACACGCCACACTGGTGCAGCCTCGTCCCAGCCCTGTGTCCCAGCCCGGGGGCAGCCTGGGAATGTGACTTCTGACTTCCTCACTGGGAAGACATAAGAGGAATTTCCCTGGATACGCAAAGACAATTCAAAAGGGCAATTTCAAGACGAAAAGAGTTCACGGGTAGCAAAACAATGGGAATGTACTGAACACCACTGAACTGCGCGCTTGAAAATGGTTAAGATGGCATGCTTTGTTACGTGCATTTTACCCACAACGAAAATTGTATTAAAAATGTAACAAAACAAATAAATAAAAAGACGTTGAGTAACTGTGAATAGGACAAATGGCCTCACTGCTGATCTCAATAAGTGTTTGATAGGCCGGGCGCAGTGGCTCACGCCTGTAATCCTAGCCCTCTGGGAGGATTGCTCAAGGTCAGGAGTTCAAGACCAGCCTGAGCAAGAGTAAGACCCAGTCTACTAAAAATAGAAAGAAATTATCTGGCCAACTAAATATATATAGAAAAAATTAGCCGGGCATTGTGGTGCATGCCTGTAGTCCCAGCTACTCGGGAGGCTGAGGCAGGAGGATCACTTGAGCACAGGAGTTTGAGGTTGCTGTGAACTAGGCTGATGCCACGGCACTCTAGCCCAGGCAACAGAGTGATACTCTATCTCAAAATAAATAAATAAGCATTTGGTAAATAAGTAAATAAAGGCATTTGGCAGGAACATTGGACTCCCAGACCCACAGTAGTAAGAACCAGTCACTGTTTAACTCTTCTCAGTTTACTGGGCATTTGCAGGGTACTTTGTACTTCCTGCTGTCAGAGTGCACGACACACACAGGAGGGCTATTTTTATGTAATTATAGCTAATTTGTATAAGTATGTGCAATGTGCCCAGTGCTTGCACACGTTGTCAAAATTACTGCTCACTCCCACCTGCAAGGTGCCCGGGTTGCTCAGAACGAGCAACTCACACTTGGGAAGGTGAAGCTACCAGGATAAGTCAGCAGAAACGTAAAGTGAAGTTAGTGAATTCAAGGTAAAAGACCCAGAAGAACCTATGGAGAAACAGAGAAAATAAAAAGAGCGAAACTTCAACATGTCCATGTTTTTGTGACTACAAAAGTGAGGAGCCTAGAACGACCTGGAACACAGAGAAGTTTCCCAAATAGAGTTAGCACTCAGGAAAGGCTAAAATGGCAAATGCCCTGCATCCGGTAGCCCTGGCAACGGGCCTCCCACCTTATCTTATGATGTTATAATGAGAAAAAACACATGCAAATAGTCATTCCAGATGGGGCCCATAGAGTCCAGTTAGCTCCACCCTAGGGAAAGTTCTGGGGAGGAGTTTGACAGTAGCTTGTGGCACAACAGAAGCTGAGGTCACGGGAGCTGTTATCTGAATTATGCATCATAAAGCATCAACTTGAACCCAAGCACTCAAGTGCTGTGGCTGCCACCGAGGTTGATCAAAGTCCGCATGCCTGGTCCGCTGTGTACTTGCTTATCCAAATTCACGCATGCTCTCCACCCTGGCATCTCTGCCTGCAGGAAACCCCAGCCTGGAGGTGGGTAGAAGTTCCCTCTCCCAGCTGGACATTGGGCAGCTGCGGCAGGCTGCTGTTGACACTGCTCTCCTGACCCCTACTGCCCAGCCGGGGCCTGCCCAAAAGAGGTTTGCAGAATAGTACAGAGAACTCTTAGGCTTATCATGAAAGAAATTGAAGACTAGAGAGGTTACATACTGTGCCCCAAATTACCCAGCTAGCAAGAGACAGAGCCAGGATTTGAACCTAGTCTAATTCCAAAGCCCATACCCTTAATCACCAAGGGAGTGTGCACACCCTGTTCAGATAGTAACTAGTTACTTTAATTCCCCAAGTTACTTTAGTTCACTGGGCCTCTTTTCCCATTGGTAAACAGGTAACAAAAGATCTGCCCAACAGGGCTGTTGAGAGAATTGGAAATGATATACGTCAAGTCTTAGCAAGTGCCGAACCCCCAATGAGGGAGGACTGATGAGCAGAAGTTCTATTCCCATTTTCAGATTGAAAATCTCAGCCTCAAAAGAGTCAAGGAACATGACCAGGGTTCCATGGCCATTTGCTATCTGAGACAGATCTTGATCCTGGTTTCTTTTTTTAACCCCAAATTCTATGCCTTTGGCTCCTCTAACGGTTTGGGTGGGAACGTGGGGAAGACAAAACCAAATGGACCTGCATAAGAAAATCAGTCTTATTTTGCTGAGGACAAGACTGTGTGCACCTACTTCGAGGAAATAACTGCGGCAGGCACTGCAGAGTGGAACAAGAGGCAGAGGACCTAGCTCCATCCTTCAAGGGCAATGGTGCCGCCAGTGAAATGGGCCTGATGCTACGTTTGCAGTAAGAGCTCCTTTTTTTTCCTCCTTCATCAGGGAAATGGGTTTGACTAAGCCGATTGTCCTCAGCCTGGCCTACAGCCTGGACACTGGGGAAGGGCAGCCAGGTTGAGAACCCCCCAAGCTAAGCAGAGATCATTCTTGGGCCAACTGGGGCATGGGAGGAGGAGGGAGTGTGAGCAGGGGATTATCGTGTCAGGGAAGTTACATGGACCTTCAAGGAGAACGCCCAGGGGTACTCACAGTAGAAGCAGGAGGGAGCCCCTGCCTCCCAGCGGGCAGCTGCAGATGTCACAGGCAAGACCCCAAACGTCAGGCTGCTGTCAGGATCAAAACGCTCCCCTCGGCCTGAGACACCTCCTTTATTGCCAGAACCGGGACTGCATAGAAAGGAAAAGACTCCGGGGAACACACACCTGACTTCAGCCACACCACCGCCTTCCTGGCCGTGGGACACATGATGTATGGCCACCTAGAAAATCTATCGCGTTTTCAAGCATGAAGACAGACGAATAAAATGCATTATTTTATTAGCAACTCTTAAGAGCTCCTGCAATGGCGTGAGTTACAGCAGATACAACTAATTTCATATATTTAATGTGTTTATTAGCACTTAATTTACACTAACTTGCATTGCAGGATACTCAGCTATAACGCATGTTTACTATGCTGTGTCATTCCACATTAAGCAGACTTTGTTGATTGTCACAACCAGTGTTTCTAGGCGAGCAGTTGTCTTGCGTCCAATGATTCCTCTCCCGTCCCAATGTCACCTGCCCATCTTTGCCATCGCAGGGTTTGGTTTCCACGTTGTGGTCTCTTTCATCTCCCATCTTTCACGAGTGTTTCTTCTGAGGTTTTTCAGAGTTCTTACTATGCTACCATTTTTGTGCTTCCCAAAACATTTTATGCTCGATTAAGTAAATAAACACTCAAGGACAAGATTATTTAAAATAGTCAAAAAAAAAAATACGATTTTTATAAGCATTTTAACGCCCTGCATGAAGTTCAAAATCGGTGGCATGTTGAACATTACTTGATGTGGAAATTCTAAGCTTAACTTTTCAAAAGATTAAATAAAAAGCTCAGAAACATGTACAGATTTTTCTCATTAATAAGTCACTGTCTGCGTCGGTCTGGGTCCTCCAGGAAGCAGATGCAGAGAGGGAGGTAGGAGAGAAAGATTTACTGGGGGACGAAGCAGGAGCGAGCAGGGCAAGCCTTCCAAGCAAGCGCACTGCAGATCTGGTCTTGGGAAAGGAAAGGGGGAGGGAGGGAAATAGGGCAGGGAACATCTCAGTCCACACTGCGGATCTTTCAATGCTTCAGGGAACCCAATGGGGAGCGGAGCAAAAGTGCCCAACAGAAGAGTCCCACACTGGGCGGAAATGGCCGGGTTCCGGTGCCCTCGACATGCCCAGCCCTTCTCTTGGGAGCTGCCTGGGAAGAGAGACCTTGGCTCAATTGCTGTTGCAAAGGGTCCCAAAGGCACTGCAGCTGGAGGCCAAGAGCTAAGCACGTTCCTTGCAGCTGAACGGCGTGTCCTTTCTTGGAGGGAGCAATGCTCTTCCGTGGTTTCCACGCTGCCACCCATCTCCTGCCAATGTGGACCTTTATAAGGCAAACGGCATAGCTTCCTAAGGTTACTAACTGCTTGTCTATTCTTGGCCTGGAGTGATCAAGTGAACACCATGCCCAGCTGGACTGTGGGGGAGATACAATTAAACATTTTATAGGGAGATATAATTGACTGACAGTTAGTGGTGAACCATGGGTACCTTCTTTCTTTCTGCTTTTCTTTTTTTTTTTCTGAGACAGAGTCTCGCTTTGTTGCCCAGGCTAGAGTGAGTGTCATGGCGTCAGCCTAGCTCACAGCAACCTCAAACTCCTGGGCTCAAGCAATCCTCGCCTCAGCCTCCCAAGTAGCTGGGACTACAGGCATGCGCCACCATCCCCGGCTAATTTTTTCTATATGTATTAGTTGGCTAATTAATTTCTTTCTATTTATAGCAGAGACAGAGTCTCGCTCTTGCTCGGGCTGGTTTCCAACTCCTGACCTCGAGCAATCCACCCGCCTCAGCCTCCCAGAGTGCTAGGATTACAGGCGTGAGCCACCCTGCCCAGCCTCTTTCGGCTTTTCTTTATATCCCAAATTGTAGACCATGATAATTTATTTTCTCTTTGATCAGAAAAATACGTAATGAAAATTTTTAAATTAGTCTCCATAATCACACCTTTTTGATCTAAAATGATATCCCAAATTTGGTAGCTCAAAAAACACTGTTTCCAAGAAACAGAACATGGTAATAGACCAAGCATAGGCTTTGAGTTCAGACAGACCTGAGCTTGAACCCCTGCCCTATGACTGCAACCCTGGACGCTGGGCAAGCCCTTACCCTTCCTCAAGCTCCATTCCCTTGTCTGGAAGGGAAGACACATGTCTTCCTTCTCAGTACCGCTTTATTAAAGATGTAGAGTATGTAAGCCCTCTAGTTCTATGCCAACACATAGTAAGAAACCAATCCATTTTGGTGCCCTTTCCTATCCCCCACCAATGCTGCTGGAAGTTTCTAAAAATCAAATCCGCATTTGAAGGACAGAGTATGGCCATAGCTGAAGAAATTCAAAATAATGATCTGGGAAACTCTGAAAAATGAGCTCTAAAAAGCACTTTGGCTGCAATTCCACTTCTAGGTATATACCCAAGAGAATTGAAAGCAGGAACTCAAACAGCTATTTGTACACCCATGTTCACAGCAGCATTATCCACAAAAGCCAAAAGGTGGAAACAACCCAAATGTCTGTGGATGGATGGGTGGATAAACAAAATATGATACATATATGATACATACATAATACATACAGTGGAATAGTGTTTGAACTGAGAGAGAAAGGAAGTTCTTACATGTGCTACAACACAGATGGACTTTGAGCACATTATGCTAAGTGAAACAAGCCAGACAAAAAAGGACAAACACTATATGATACTGCTTACATAAGGTACCTAGAATAGTCAAGTTCACAGAGACAGAATGCAGAATAGAGGTGACCAAGGACTGAGGGAGGGAGGGAGGGGAATGGGGAGTTACTGTTTAATGGGGACAGAATTTCAGTTTGGGATGACGAAAAAGTTCTGGAAATGGATGGTGGTGACTGGTTGTACAACAATGTGAGTGTACCTAATGCCACTGCACTGTATACTTAAAAATGGTTAGAAATGGTAATTTTTTGTTGTGTATGTGTATGTATATATATTTTTTAATTTAAAGAGGTTTATTTTGAGGTTTATAAAGAGGTCACACAAATGTGTGTGCCCAGCCCAGAGCACATGGCCTCAAGAGGTTCTGAGAAAATGTGTCCCTGTTATGTATATTTTACCAAAATTTTAAAAATAAAGATAATTTTTAAAACCTCCTTGCAATACAGCAGTATTATTATTTGAAACCCATGCAAGAAGCAAAGCTGAGCTGCCAGCAAGTGTTTTTCACACAGAGACGCAACACACAATTTGTGCAATGCACTGCATTTTTTATAAATTTAATTATAAAAATAAGAAAATCACGTGACAGAACATTTTGAAAATGAAGAAAAAAATTTCGAAAACCCCATTTCCTTTTTTCCTTACAAGAATCCCTTTTAACTTTTCATGATCATTGCGTGTGGACACTATGCATTCGGAAGACAGTCCCAAAAGTGGCTTCCAGAAACCTCCTTGGCAATGCACAAGGGTAAGATCAACACTGTGATTCCTCTCAGGCTTCTTGGAACACAAATTTATTGCACAGAAGTCACGTAAATCATTCTGATTAGAGATTCATTTGTTGTCTTTAACCTTATCAAAGAAGGCAGGTATATGAGTTAGAGAACACTAGCTGCCATAACGCATGGGCTCAAGAATGTGAGTGTCTTAACACAATAGAAATTTATTTCTCACTGCAGTTCATTTCAGTGTTTCTGGTGGACAGGCAGCTTTTCTCCATGTGGTCTCACGGACCCAGGCTCCATCTATCTTGTGTTTCCACTACCCCCTGGGGCATCTTTATAGCCCGTGGAAAGATAACAAAAAAGTGAAGAAGCTTCATTATTTCTTTTTCTTTTCTTTTCTTTTTTTTTTTTTTGAGACAGAGTCTCACTCTGTTGCCCAGGCTAGAGTGAGTGCCGTGGCGTCAGCCTAGCTCACAGCAACCCAAACTCCTGTCAAGCGATCCTCCTGCCTCAGCCTCCCGAGTAGCTGGGACTACAGGCATGCGCCACCATGCCCGGCTAATTTTTTCTATGTATATTAGTTGGCCGATTAATTTCTTTCTATTTATAGTAGGGAACGGGGTCTCGCTCTTGCTCAGGCTGGTTTCGAACTCCTGACCTCAAGCAATCCGCCCGCCTCAGCCTCCCAGAGTGCTAGGATTGCAGGCATGAGCCACCGCGCTTTTATTTCTTAAAAGTTGACCCAAGAGTGGTGCAAATCACTTCCACTCACGAGTCCTTGATAAGAACTAGGCACACAGCCATAGTAGAGGCAAGACTGGGAGAAAATACTGTGAAACATCCATCTGACAAAGTTTCTGTATCTAGAATACATAAAGAACTCTTGTAACTTAATAATAAGACAAACAATTGAGTTAGAAAATGAGCAAAAGATTTGAACAGACACTTCGCCAAAGAAGATATACAGATGTCAAATAAGCACATGAAAAGATGTACAACATCATTGGTCCCTGGGGAAATTCAAATAAAACCACAATGAGATATCACTACACACCCACTAGAATGGCTAAAATTTTAAAGACTGACCATCCCAAGTGTTTTAACAAGGATGTGGAACAACTGGAACTCTCAGAAGTTGCTGGAGGTGATATAAAATGATACAGCCTCTTTGGAAAATAGTTTGGAAGTTTTTACATATAAGTTGTTTAAATTTTTTAAGTCATATACACCACTGCATCCAACTATTTTAGAATATACATTTTTTTCAGAAATACATGGAACATTTAAGAAATTTAAATTATAATCAGGTCTTAACAAATTTCAGAGGTCTGGTATACCATAGACCACTTTCTCTGACCACAGTACAATTAAATTTGAAGTCAATTACAAACAGAAAACTAGAAAAAAAAAAACCATGGTTTGGAAATCAAGAAATACATTTTATTAATAAAAAGTCACAGGTTAGGCCAGCACTGGTGGTTAATGCCTGTACTCCTAGCACTCTGGGAAGCTGAGGTGGGTGGATTGTTTGAACTCAAGAGTTTGAGACCAGCCTGAGCAAGAGCGAGACTCTGTCTCTACTAAAAAAATAGAAAGAAATTGGCTGGACAAATTAAAAATACTATACGGGATATATGCCAGTAGTATATATATATCTATATAATATATATATTATACTCTCTAGTATCGTGTGTGTGTGTTTATATATATATATATTATATTTAGCCGGCATGGTGGCACTGCTGTAGTCCTAGCTACTTGGGAGCTGAGGCAGAGGATTGCTTGAGCCCAGGAGTTTGAGGTTGCTGTGAGCGAGGCTGACGCCATAGCACTCTAGCCTGGGCAAAGAGAAGTGAGACTCTTCAAAAAAAAAATCATTCAAGGAGCAAATAACTCTAATATTACACGAACTTTTGGATTATAGTAAAGGAGGAAACACTCTCCAATTCATTTTACAAAGCTAGTATAAAATTAATACCAAAATTGACAAGGAAAATGCGCAAAAGAAAAATTACGAGACAATTTCACATGACAATTTCTCTGATGAACAGACTCTTTTTAAAAATTAGCAAACTATTCTTTTTTTTCTCTTCCTTCATGCTGCAGTAGTGCACTAGTAGCAAACTATTCTGAATGCTGTTTTTGTCCCAAAAAAATTAACAAACTAATTCCAACAATGTATAAAAGAATCATGACCAAATCTGATTTATCACAGGAATAAGAGATTACTTGAAATGTTAGAAAACCAATTAATGATTCATAATTAATCATTTTAACAGAATAAAGAAGAAAAAACACATGCTATCTCATTACAAATTTGTTGACAAATTTTACTATCCATTCATGATAAAAAGTAAATATAAAAATAAATCCTTAGAAGCTAGAAGTAGAATCTCCTTAACCCCGTAAAGTGTATTGACAACAGAAATCCTATTTAATGGGGAAGCAGTGAATGTTTTCCCTTTGAGACCATAGAAAAGAGTGCCTGCCTACAACATTTCCATTCCACATTTTATTGGAAGAAGAGAAGAGAAATAAAGATATAAGGATTGGGAAAAAGAAAACATTCATTATTCACATATATTTTGGGGCTATATAGAAAACAAAATCTATAGAGAAATTATTAGTTTTAATAAGAGGGTTCAGCAGGTTGCTAAATAAAGAAATCAATATACAAAGTCAATGAATTTCTATAATCAGCAACAAATAAAAAAGTAGTTGTTTCACACCTGTAATCCTAGCACTCTGGGAGGCCGAGGCGGGCGGATTGCTCGAGGTCAGGAGTTCGAAACCAGCCTGAGCAAGAGCGAGACCCCGTCTCTACTATAAATAGAAAGAAATTAATTGGCCAACTAATATATACAGAAAAAATTAGCCGGGCATGGTGGCGCATGCCTGTAGTCCCAGCTACTCGGGAGGCTGAGGCAGAAGGATCACTTGAGCCCAGGAGTTTGAGGTTGCTGTGAGCTAGGCTGATGCCACGGCACTCACTCTAGCCTGGGCAACAAAGCCAGACTCTGTCTCAAAAAAAAAAAGAAAAAAAAATTAAAAATTAAAAAAAAATAAAATATTCA